CCTATTTACACTTATTTTCTGTAGTTATTAGTTCCAAACAACTTATGGTCAAAGTTTATACTTCTCACTTTTTCACATTTATTTCCTGTAGTTATTAGTTCCAAACAACTTATGGTCAGAGTTTATACTTCTCACCCTTTCACACTTGTTCACTGTAGTTATAAGTTCCACACAACTTATGGTCAGAGTTTATACTTCTCATCTTTTCACACATATTTTCTGTAATTATTATATTGTTAGCAACTGACTTAGAAACTCGACGAAACAAAATGAATAGTACTATCGGGACTTTTCACTATGGACCACGAAATTCCAAAGTAAATCTCTTGAGAATTTCTACTTCCAATCTTTTCACACCTATTTCCTATGTTTACTTTACTGTTAGCGGCTGAAGTAGAAACCTTTCGAAAACAAAGCAATGAATCGCCACTCTAGGCATTAGACTTTTCCCGGCTTCGAAAACACAGTTGGGTAGAATTTATCGGCTTGTTTGTAGTACAGTAATTGCAACAAGCATTGTCTAAAGTACTCTATAAAAGTGAGAGAAGATATTTACGGTATGTCTTTATACAAAGTCTGATCCAATCCAATAAGCCTGTTGGGTATTTGAATGTTAGTCACATCCCGGAATTTAGTGGTATAGGTGTAAAAGTGTATATGTGTTTATGGACATCCTGTTAACCATACTTACAGAGTAACCTTAAGCACTTTAGAAATCTTACAGAAATGGGATATTACTAAAGTTTACGCAAAAAGTTAATTCGATCTCATCATAATGTTTTTAGAAGCAATGAAGGAACATAAGGGTAAAAAGGTCTTAGAAGCAGAGAAGCATTAATAACACTGACAGAGAAAAATAAGATTGTTTCAATCAATCATGGTCAATTTTTAACCAGTACCATAAACAATATGAAACAACGGTTATTCACAACAACTTCTCATGAACCGATTGGGTCACAGTCAGGCACTTCTAATTCCATTCCAAACATAATTTCTGAACGTACCTTAGAAGTCAATGAGTGGCCAGCAGAGATAAATCCAGGCTTTGGAGAAAGGGAAATAGAGTCCCTTTTTTAAACGTTTCAGATTGCCATTTTTAAAAACAACCACAGCATACAGAGACTTTCTAGACAACTGCGGGCGTCATATTCCATCAAATTTGAATCCTTTAATAGCGTGTTCAAAAGTCATACCATGCAATTCTTCCTAATGCGAACGAGGCTTTAAAAGCATGAACCTTATCACTACGGAAACTAGGTCTAGGCTGTTAATCAACCATGTGACAAATCTCATGTTCATTAGCTTGACGGCCCTTTGATTCAAAACTGGAAACCAGACGCCTATGGATACAAATGGCTTAGGTGTCACTGTTCAGTGACTGATACACGAATAAGAGTAGCCAAGTACAAGGAATTCACTATAGACCAAGTTTGGAAGTTCTGTTAATAAGTTATCCAGGAATTCAAAAGTTCAAGGTGAGAGAAAATTAATTTTTTATTGTAACATTTTCAAATGTAGATTTCAATTACAATTTACAGCTACTATTTCTCAAATACGTGTTTTTATGTATTGGTGACGTAATGAATACTAATCATAGTAATACTTTCAAAACGCGTTCTCTCACTTCTTTATTTAACATTACACCGCTGTTAATAAGGTTTAATAAATATGTAGGTAGTGGTTTGTCAAAATGGCTAAGAAAAACACCACACTACATAGGTAAAGAGAAAGTAGGCTTAACTCTCGTTATTCTTACCTTGCGTCTCAATAAGAAATAAAACTTAGGCTTCACATCACACGAGTAAATAGGAAGTAAGCATATACTCTGTGTATCTGTATTTATATATTTCTATCTGTAAATTAAGAAGTAAAATACGTTTACATACTCTTCCAAAAGTCCTTTAAGCACCAAATTTGGGCCTGTTCCAATTTGGCTACCGGTCCCACCGATATTAGCAGAATAGGCTACACTGAGAAACAAGGCTTTCCTCAAGATCCTAGTATTCTCGCCTGTTTCCTTACCTTGTTCTTCACTGCTAGAAGAATAAATGTAAATATATTACATTACTTATTCAACATCCTTGTACATAAATGTAAGTATATTACATTACTTATTCAACATCCTTGTACATAAATGTAAGTATATTACATTACTTATTCAACATCCTTATCCATAAAAGTAAGTATATTACATTACTTATTCAACATCCTTATCCATAAATGTAAGTATATTACATTACTTATCCAACATCCTTATCCATAAATGTAAGTATATTACATTACTTATTCAACATCCTTATCTATAAATGTAGGTATATTACATTACTTATCCAACATCCTTATCCATAAATGTAAGTATATTACATAACTTATTCAACATCCTTATCTATAAATGTAGGTATATTACATTACTTATTCAACATCCTTATCCATAAATGTAAGTATTGTTGCGTCATCG